ACACACACACACACACACACACACACACACACACACACACACACACACACACACACACACACACACACACACATACATCGTTTCTCTCAATGTTTGCTGGTGATGCAAAAATTATGAGGAGGATTGAGACAGAGGATGATAGTAAGAGGCTACGTGATGACCTAGACAGACTGAGTGAATGGTCCAACAAATGGCTGTTGAAGTTCAACTGAGTAAATGCAAAGTAACGAAACTAGGCAGTGGAAACAGGAGGCCAGACACAGGATACAGAATAGGAGGTGAAGTACTTAATGAAACAGACAGAGATAAAGATCTAAGAGTTGATATCACAACTCCTGAAGCCCACATAAAAAGAATAACGACTGCGGCATATGCGAGGCTGGCTAACATCAGAACAGCCTTCAGGAACCTGTGTAAGGAATCATTCAGAATCTTGTACACCACATATGATTGTTGCTGCCGAAGGCGGCTAGTTTATTGTGCACCCCATACTCATCCTGTGAGCGGTAGCACAAAAGCATTACAGAGGGCACAAAAGGTCTTTATCAGACCTTATCTTAGATTATTACATAAACAATTTCATCTATCCTTCACACCTTATAGTTACAATGTCAGTTAGTTACAGAGAAAGTGCTATTACAAGAGCTACATATTTACAGTAAGTCATCATACATTAATGGTAGGTCTTGTCGCTAATACATAATAGTTTGACCAATGGGGATATTACAGAGTCATAGGGGAGCTTCTGTTTATTATTAGTCCTCACAATACACTACTTGTTTCTGAATCTCATATGTCGTTCATCTACTGGAAGCGAAATGTGGATACAGTGCAAGGATTTCAGGTAATTTATCCATGGTAATAAGATAGGTTGTCATACCATACAGAGTGAGCTTAGACTTATCTCTAAAAGGCTCAATTTTACAACAATCCAAGATATAGTGTTCGAGTGTGTGTCCCTGTCTGTGTCCACACACTTTACACTTTACTTCATCTAGATCCCTATACAAGCCGAACTACCAGAGATACTTGTAGCCAAGTCTTATACGAGCTGTGACAACATCTGTTAGTCTACTGACTTTGTTACTTGCCCCATACACATGTTTTACTTCACACATTTCATTGTGATGAACGATGGACCTACTAGTTCCAGTTTGCACTGTTCTACTTTCTTCAAATTCATCCAGAAGTTCTCGTCTAATGACACTTTTAAGGGACCTATTTGATAACTCAAGATTCCGTTCAATACTGTCTTTATTTACTGCAGCCTTAATTTCTGTGCCTTGTAAGACCAGTCCTGGAGTATGCGGCCCCAGCATGGAGCCCGTACCTTGTCAAGCACAAGACGAAGCTGGAAAAAGTTCAAAGGTATGACTCTAGACTAGTCCCAGAACTAAGAGGCATGAGTTACGAGGAAAGGCTGCGGGAAATGTCCCTTACAACACTGGAAGACAGAAGAGTGAGTGGAGACATGATCACTACCTACAAAATCCTCAGGGGAATTGACAGGGAAGACAAAGATAAACTATACAACACTGGTGGGACGCGAACAAGGGGACACAGGTGGAAACTGAGTACCCACATGAGCCACAGGGACGTTAGAAAGAACTTTTTCAGTGTCAGAGTAGTTAACAGATGAAATGCATTAGGCAGTGATGTGGTGGAGGCTGACTCCATACACAGTTTCAAGTGTAGATATGATAGAGCCCAATAGGCTCAGGAACCGGTACACCAGTTGATTGACAGTTGAGAGGCGGGACCAAAGAGCCAGAGCTCAACCCCCGCAAGCACGAATAGGTGAGTACACAGACAGAGGGTGGGGGGGCCTGGTGAATAGCGCGCAGGACTCGTAATTCTGTGGCGCGGGTTCGATTCCGGCACCAGGCAGAAACAAATGGCCAAAGTTTCTTTCACCCTGATGCCCCTGTTAGTAGGCATCCATCAGTTTCAGGAGACTATGGAGATGCGCTCTGGTTGTTGGTCTGGAGTGACCGCACTAGGGCGCTATGCCAGGGTAGGTTATTGTCACTGGGTAAAGTCGTCTCTGTCCATCCAGATAGTCGGGGGGGAGGGGGGAGGGGGGGAAGGGGGGAGGGGAGGGGGGGAAGTTGGAGGGGGGAGGTTGGAGGGGGGAGGTTGGAGGGGGGGAGGGAAAGGGGGGGGGGGAGAATAGTCAAGGTCTTGTCAAAGGGAACCACTTCCCTGAGGACATTGGACCAACTTATCCACACGGAGTCAGTTACAGACAGATCCAGGTAGACCCCCAGAGTGACTCCAGATGACCAACAGACACCAGTCACATCCGTCCACAACGAACATCAGACCAAAAGTACAAGCACAAACATCACTCGTATTATCAATGTGAGTCAGAGTACAGGAACATACATGGACACAGGTGATCCTAACTATTGGACTCGGTGCCAGTTCTTCCCCTCTGGAAGATGTCGAAAATTCCATTCACTATATCCATATTATCTAAGGAGGCTATCTTGAGATGATTTCGGGGCTTAGCATCCCCACGGCCCAGTCCTCGACCAGGCCTCCTTTTTGTTACACCCCCCTCCCCAGGAAGCAGCCCGTAGCAGTAGTCTAACTTCCAGGTTCCTATTTACTGCTAGGTGAGCAGATGCATCAGTGAAAGAAACTCTGCCCATTTGTTTCCTTTCCCGAGGCCTTGCCCTTGACTACATCCGATCCTATCTTAGTGACAGACACCAATATGTAACCATCAATGATACAACTTCTTCCACTCTATCAATTACCGTTGGAGTGCCACAGGGCAGTATCTTAGGACCTCTTCTATTTCTTATATATATATATAAACGATCTGCCTAATGTCTCTAATATTCTCAAACCTATATTGTTTGCTGACGATACTACCCTTATCTATTCAGACCTCAACCCACATACACTAAATAATGTTGTGAATAATGAATTAAAAAAAAGTCCACTTATGGATGTCAACGAACAAACTAACATTAAACATCGAAAAGACTTACTACATCTTATTTGGAAGCAAATCATCAAATGCAATTCAGCTACAGATAGACAACATTAACATCAGTAATAAAAATGATGGCAAGTTTCTTGGCCTATTCCTAGACAAGAGACTCAACTTCAGCACCCACATTCAACACATAACTAAGAAAGTCTCTAAGACCGTTGGTATACTCTCCAAAATCAGATATTATGTTCCTAACTCTGCTCTCCTCTCACTATATTATGCACTAATCTACCCCTATCTTAATTATGGTATCTGTGCATGGGGGTCTACCACTGCAAACCACCTTAAGCCCATCATCACACAGCAAAAATCTGCTATCAGAATTATAACTAACTCTGCTTTCAGACAACACTCAGCTCCCTTGTTTAAATCCCTAAACTTGCTAAATATTAACTCCCTCCACACATTCTCTTGTGTCAACTACATTTACAAAACCCTGTTCTTAAATGCAAACCATGCTCTGAAACTCTCCCTGGACAGATGTAATAGGACCCATTATCACCACACCAGAAATAAATATCTCTTTGATATCCCCAGGGTCAAACTTAATCTGTGTAAACACTCTATGCAAATTAAGGGACCTAGTCTATGGAACTCACTCCCTAGTGAATTGAAAAACTGTAAAACTTTTGCCTTATTTAAAAGCAAAACCAAAAAGTACCTAATTTCATCTTCTTAGTTTCCTACACTGAGCTTTAAATTTGCTCTGTACCTAGTGTTACCCAATCTCCTAATTTTTATGTAATATCAAACAACCTTATCATTGTGTTCATTGCTGTCTTCTTTTATGTGCTAGCCATATGCTGTATTGTGTCTACCAATTTTTGTCAACTACCATTTTAAGCTGTCATTGCAATCAATCTTAGCTACCTATGTGCTTTAATATACTGTACCTACAATTTTCTCTCATCTTTTTTTTTTCATTCCATGTAACTGTTATCATTTTTTTTTGTCTATAAATTTTGCAAGTATTTACCTACTTAAAATTTTCTTAGATTAAGGACCTGCCCGAAACGCTGCGCGTGCTAGTGGCTCTACAAGACTGTAATTACCATATTATGTATCCTCACATTCCTTATGTACATTCTTGTATATGCATAAATAAATAAATAAATAAATGAATAAATAAAGTCACCAGGGCCCTGCCCTGGTGACTCTCTATTACTCCCTCATCTATCCTTATCTCAACTATGGTATTTGTGCTTGGGGCTCTACTACCCAAAATCATTTACGTCCTCTAATTACTCAACACAAAGCTGCTATTAGGACAATAACCAACTCTGGCCCAGACATCACTCGGTACCCCTACTCAAATCTCTGAATATGTTAGACATTAAGTCACTGCACATTCTCTCTTGTGTATTATACATATATAAAACGCTAAACTATAATGCCAATCCTGACCTTAAAAGCTTCATTGAAGGTTGTAACAGAACCCATGAGCACCACACCAGAAATAAATACAGTTTTGATATTCCTAGAGTACGACTTAATCAAACTAGAAATGCTCTACAAATCAAGGGGCCCAGAATGTGGAATGACCTTCCCAACCATGTTAAAGACTGTACCTCTCTCAACCAGTTTAAGATAAAAACGAAGCTATACCTAATAAATTCCCTGTAGCCTACCTTACCCCTCTATTGTCAACCAATGTCTGTTTTTATTAAAGAGCGCTGTTTGTCGACAGAATTGTATTTGTGCTGCTTTTTCAGCTATGTTTTAATTCCATGTTTTCATTTTACTCTTTATGCTCAATTAGTATTAAGCTTTAGTCATTTAAGTTTTTCATGCCCGAAACGCTTTGCGTAATAGTGGCTTTAGGCATTGTATGTACTAGCCCTAACTATAAATCCATCACTCTTTGTAAAATCTCTTGTATGTATGTACCTTACCTAAATAAACATTTGATTTGATTTTTTGTTTTGATTTGAATAAACATATTACCGAACATTCTGAGAGATAAACATATGAGCGGGTAGAGGTGTGTTTTGGTGGAGTGTTACATGGAGGGTCCCTGGCGGCCGTCAGCTGGCTAGTGTCAACAAGTCGCGTCGTGGGAGTTGCTGATTTGGCCAGCCAGTTGCTATTTCACGGTCTGCAGTGACGACGTATGGCCCGCCAGTGACGACGTATGGCCCACCAGTGACGACGTATGGCCCGCCAGTGACGACGTATGGCCCGCCAGTGACGACGTATGGCCCGCCAGTGACGACGTATGGCCCGCCAGTGACGACGTATAGCCCGCCAGTGACGACGTATGGCCCGCCAGTGACTACGTATGGCCCGCCAGTGACGACGTATGACCCGCCAGTGACGACGTATGGCCCGCCAGTGACGACGTATGACCCGCCAGTGACGACGTATGGCCCGCCAGTGACGACGTATGACCCGCCAGTGACGACGTATGGCCCGCCAGTGACGACGTATGGCCCGCCAGTGACAGCATTTGTGCTAAAAGTATAAAACTTTTCTAACCTTAATCTAACAAAAACTAACATTAAACATTTAACCAAAGTTAGTTATTTTTATTTTATTATATTTATTTATATACAAGGAGGTACATTGGGTTTATGAGAGAGAGTACAGAGATTTGACATTTTAGTAAAGCCACTAATAACATTTTGGGCAGATCCTTAATCAAACATATAATTTTAAGAAGGTAATTTCTAGCAAAACTATAAAAAAATTTACAGGTACAGTGTAAGAAAGTACAAAAATACATTGTAAGATAGTATTAAAAAATACATTGTAAGATAGTATTAAAAAATACATTGTAAGATAGTATTCAAAAGTACATTGTATAAGAAATTTGATAATTTGATAGCAGAATGGTAGTTGGTTGTTTCATTACTCAACCTCTTGGTAGTTTAAAAAAAAGTGATGTCAAGAGATTTTAACCTCTTGGCACGCCCATGGCTGTTCAAGTGGGACAATATATCTCTTTAGGCTCATGATTCATGTGTGGTAGCCATTAACTTGCTTGATACCTGCTTGATGGGGTTCTGGGAGTTGTTCTACTCCCCCCCCATGCTTGGCGACTTGTGAGGGCTTGGTCCAACAGGCTGTTGCTTGGGACGGCCCATATGGCCTCAGCTTAGTTGGATACTAGTTACATTGTACACAAGATGGCACGCCAGTAGATTTTAAAACCAATCTAACCTTACCAATCCTAACCTGAAGTACCCCAAATATATCCAAACCTAACTGAGCCTAACACAGCCTAAGGTTAGCTAATACATCCTAATTAAAACAGCTGTGTACTACGTGACCGTAATCTGCTTTACTTTGTTGACAAGTGCAGAAGCTAATTATTGTAACTTGATGCTTAACCTATACCTCGGGTTTCTCTCTCAATTCTATATTGTCTCATTATCTGTGAATCTCCCTTCATACCGCTGCCATTTCTGCATCACAAAATTATATCAAAGCTTTGACTTGCCCATAAATAATTCTTTAGATTAAATATATTATGATACATGTGTGTATTTCATAGGTTTAAATTACACTCCAGCATTTGAAACATTAAATTTATTAGAGTATTTGGAACACAAAATTTACGACAGTATTTGGAACACTAAATTTACGACAGTATTTGGAACACTAAATTTACGACAGTATTTGGAACACTAAATTTATGACAGTACAGTGGGGCCTCAATTTACAATGGTAATCCGTTCCCAGAGATGTATCGTAAGTTGAAGTACAGTATCGTAAGTCAAAGCGATTTTTCCCATAAGAAATAAAGAGAATTGAATTAATCCATTCCCCACCCTCCAAAATATTAACTTACAAATACATTTTATACTGAATAAATTTTTTCTCTAACTACAATACAGTACATATGTTTATCTTACCTCTATGGAGGACTCTTGATGGCATATGGAAAATGGTGATGAGGTGGGAGGAGGAGAGGTGTTATTGTTTGGAAGGGAAGTCCCCTTCCATTATAACATCAGGCAGTGATGACTTTTCTGGGATATACACTCTGGCATGTTTTGCCTGCATACAACAAAGACCTGCTTGTGGCTCTCTGCTTGCTTGTTTTACTAAGAATCTGTCTAAAGACACTTGTTTTTCCCTACATTTTAACACTTGTCTGTAGTAAGACATCACATTGTCATTTAAAGCTCAATGCAACGGCCTGCTACAGCTTTATCTGGGTGAGTTTTTTCAACAAAACTTTGCAGTTCTTCCCATACTTCACACATTTTCTTAATGAGGAAGGGACATCCTCTACTGCCTCTACTCATAACTATTTTCTTAGGTTGAACCTTACCGCTGACTTTCTTGGGGCCCATGGCATGATATATAATAATCAGTTTTATGTTCAAAAAGCAAAAAATCACCTAAAAAACGGAACTTCTTATAGGCATGATCGTCACTAAGTGGGCAGCTCTAGTAAACTGAGACAGGTCAGCCCGCGTGACCGGGACCCACACGCTCGGTCGACCCAAATGTGTACCAACAAATATTGTTAGTCGACGACACTATCGTAAGTCGAGTCGCATTTTTCGATCAAATTTACATCATAACTCTAAATTATCATAAGTCGAGGTGCCATTGTATTTGGAACACTAAATTTATTACAGTACTGTATTTGGAACACTAAATTTATGGCAATATTTGAAACACTTAAACGTATTCATATGTTATCTTTAAAATTGATGTAGCTTATGGAACTTAGAATTTAACCAACATGCATGCAATTGCTTTCAGGCAACAGTTACCAAAGAATAGTACCAAAATGAATGAAGTATCGATGAAGCTGGCTGAACGTTTGGTTCCAGCAACTTACATGCATCAAGCGGCAGAGGCAAAAGCAACTCGGGAAAAACGGATCAGGGTCCTGATTGAACAGGTGCGTTTGAAGGGGAAATGCATTCTAAGATTAAGACTCAATCCTTACAAAGCTCCAGTTGCTATCTGTGATTTCCTCTTGTGCATGAATCTCTATATATGGTTGATCCTTATGAGTTTTCAGTACTTTCTTGTTTTGGGTGCACTATTGGGTAGATCTTGTATATAGGTGCAAATTGAACTCAGATCCTACATAGGGGAGTGATGTTTGTCTTTCATATTTGAAGATGAACATGACTTCATTATATTAGGTCGAAGGTTGGTGGCTGTGTGTCAGATGATGGAGGATAAGACTAATCTGGGTCGGAAGGCTCGCCCGTACACGGGACATTTGTGGGGCTGTGCTAGTGTGGAGGTAAATGTTGTTCTAGCTTTGCGCATGGAGCATTTCCTCTGGGCCTCGGCAATCTGTTTATTTTCTGCTGCACGGGCCCCTTTGGTGACTTTACTTCTCCAAGTTGGACGGTCTTGAGCAAGCGACTCCCAGGTATTGGTGTTGATATCCAAGTCTCTGAGGGGTCACCTTGAGGCAGTCCTTGAACAGTTTCTTCTGCCCCACAACAGAACACTTGCTCTGGTATAATTCTCCATACTGTAGCTGTTTAAGCAGTCGACTGTCAGGCATTCTGACAATGTGGCCTGCCCATCTGGCCCGAGTTTCCTGTAGGTGAGTGTAGACGCTGGCAATACCGGCCCCTTCCAGGACCTCCGTGTCTGGGATTTAGTCTTGCCATCTGATGTGGAAGAGTCTATAGAGACAGCTCAAGTGGAAGTTATTTAGCTGTTTGGTATGTCTGCTGTAGACAGTCCAGGTCACGCTGGCATGGAGAAGGCTGGTGAGTACCACTGCATGGTAGACCTTCAGTTTGGTGGTAAGGCTGTGACCTGTCCGCTCATAGACATTTTCTTGAAATCTTCCAAAGGCAGCGCTGGCCTTGGCGATCCTGTTGTTGGCTTCTGTGCCTATGTTCACCACTGTGGAGAGTATGGTGCCAAGATGGGTAAAGTTGTCAGCAGCCTGCAGGTTCTGCCCCTTGACAGTAATGTGCAGTTCCTGGCAGAGTATTCTGGGTGTGGGATAGTTCAACTTGTATAACAGAGGAAGAATTCAAACAGAGACTAGAGTTTAAAAGCTTATATCAACTAGAGTTGATATAAGGCAAGTTGTCAGCAAAGATGGCTTAATCAGAGTGGCTGTACATGCAGAGATGCATCAGGAATATGCTTAGGCTTCTTATATACAGTGTGAGCTGCTTTATGCAGCCAAAATTGGCTAAAGGACTGTCCTTTATAGGCACTAATCTGGTTAAAGGATGTCGACTCAATAGTTAAAATAATATATTTATTTTGTATGTACTGTATGTATTTTAATGCACATGTGTGTTGATTGAAAGATAAAAAATGTCTAATACTTGTTCATGTAAATCAAAGAAATATGTAAAAAGTGAAATTTGTTCATAGCTCTGTAGTGGTGAGGTGTTGTCTCCCTGTAGCTCTGTAGTGGTGAGGTGTTGTCTCCCTGTACCTCTGTAGTGGTGAGGTGTTGTCTCCCTGTACCTCTGTAGTGGTGAGGTGTTGTCTCCCTGTACCTCTGTAGTGGTGAGGTGTTGTCTCCCTGTAGCTCTGTAGTGGTGAGGTGTTGTCTCCCTGTACCTCTGTAGTGGTGAGGTGTTGTCTCCCTGTACCTCTGTAGTGGTGAGGTGTTGTCTCCCTGTAGCTCTGTAGTGGTGAGGTGTTGTCTCCCTGTACCTCTGTAGTGGTGAGGTGTTGTCTCCCTGTAGCTCTGTAGTGGTGAGGTGTTGTCTCCCTGTAGCTCTGTAGTGGTGAGGTGTTGTCTCCCTGTACCTCTGTAGTGGTGAGGTGTTGTCTCCCTGTACCTCTGTAGTGGTGAGGTGTTGTCTCCCTGTAGCTCTGTAGTGGTGAGGTGTTGTCTCCCTGTACCTCTGTAGTGGTGAGGTGTTGTCTCCCTGTAGCTCTGTAGTGGTGAGGTGTTGTCTCCCTGTACCTCTGTAGTGGTGAGGTGTTGCCTCCCTGTAGCTCTGTAGTGGTGAGGTGTTGCCTCCCTGTAGCTCTGTAGTGGTGAGGTGTTGCCTCCCTGTAGCTCTGTAGTGGTGAGGTGTTGCCTCCCTGTAGCTCTGTAGTGGTGAGGTGTTGCCTCCCTGTACCTCTGTAGTGGTGAGGTGTTGCCTCCCTGTAGCTCTGTAGTGGTGAGGTGTTGCCTCCCTGTACCTCTGTAGTGGTGAGGTGTTGCCTCCCTGTAGCTCTGTAGTGGTGAGGTGTTGCCTCCCTGTAGCTCTGTAGTGGTGAGGTGTTGTCTCCCTGTAGCTCTGTAGTGGTGAGGTGTTGTCTCCCTGTACCTCTGTAGTGGTGAGGTGTTGTCTCCCTGTACCTCTGTAGTGGTGAGGTGTTGTCTCTCTGTACCTCTGTAGTGGTGAGGTGTTGCCTCCCTGTAGCTCTGTAGTGGTGAGGTGTTGTCTCCCTGTACCTCTGTAGTGGTGAGGTGTTGTCTCCCTGTACCTCTGTAGTGGTGAGGTGTTGCCTCCCTGTACCTCTGTAGTGGTGAGGTGTTGTGTCTCTGTACCTCTGTAGTGGTGAGGTGTTGCCTCCCTGTAGCTCTGTAGTGGTGAGGTGTTGTCTCCCTGTACCTCTGTAGTGGTGAGGTGTTGTCTCCCTGTACCTCTGTAGTGGTGAGGTGTTGTCTCCCTGTACCTCTGTAGTGGTGAGGTGTTGTCTCCCTGTAGCTCTGTAGTGGTGAGGTGTTGCCTCCCTGTAGCTCTGTAGTGGTGAGGTGTTGTCTCCCTGTACCTCTGTAGTGGTGAGGTGTTGTCTCCCTGTAGCTCTGTAGTGGTGAGGTGTTGTCTCCCTGTAGCTCTGTAGTGGTGAGGTGTTGTCTGCCTGTACCTCTGTAGTGGTGAGGTGTTGCCTCCCTGTACCTCTGTAGTGGTGAGGTGTTGTCTCCCTGTACCTCTGTAGTGGTGAGGTGTTGTCTCCCTGTACCTCTGTAGTGGTGAGGTGTTGTCTCCCTGTAGCTCTGTAGTGGTGAGGTGTTGTCTCCCTGTAGCTCTGTAGTGGTGAGGTGTTGTCTCCCTGTACCTCTGTAGTGGTGAGGTGTTGTCTCCCTGTAGCTCTGTAGTGGTGAGGTGTTGTCTCCCTGTACCTCTGTAGTGGTGAGGTGTTGTCTCCCTGTAGCTCTGTAGTGGTGAGGTGTTGCCTCCCTGTACCTCTGTAGTGGTGAGGTGTTGCCTCCCTGTAGCTCTGTAGTGGTGAGGTGTTGCCTCCCTGTAGCTCTGTAGTGGTGAGGTGTTGCCTCCCTGTACCTCTGTAGTGGTGAGGTGTTGTCTTCCCGTTCTCAGAGAGAGAGCCTCCTTCACACTCCTTTACTTGTTATACGATGAACATTTTTATTCTATTTATAGTTGCAAAATTGGGTATTTTCTTGTATATCTTGTGATAATCAACCATTCCACGTATAATCAAGTATTTTCCGTGTAAGGAGCGAAGAGGTGAAGTAAGGCTGGCATCTAGGCAGCTTCAAGCACCCCTCCATTAACTAACACTAAAGAGTGAAAAATATGTAATTTTTTCCCAGTTAATTTTTTTTCCATAAATTCTCATGTGTATAAACAATTAATTTCTTCCATCTTCTCCATATTTATGTCGTGCCAGTTTATTTGGTCCAGAAAGGGATCATAAATATTTAGTCTATTCACTGTTTTTCTTGTAGATACGGTAAAAATCAGGTACTGCCCGAAACCCTATGCGTGCTAATGACTTTAGAAGAATGTAACAACTCGTGTATGTATAAAAAACAAAAAGTTAACATGCACCTCAAAAGTTATTGATATTCGCTACAAAATTCACTCAACATTCCCCGTGGTGAAGTGATAAGATACTCACCCGGCGTTTCGCGAGCGCTTTCTCCTGGGTTCGTATCCTGGCTGGGGAGGATTTACTAGACGCCAATCCTTAACACTGTCGTGCGCCAAATACAGTCGCTGGTCATGGGGAAACTAAAAAAAAAAATTGTGTGTGACGTACTTTAGCCGCGATGGAGCTGAGAAGTTTAGCAAATTATGGGCACAGAGTGATGGAGTGCTTAAGGTCACTAGGCCCCACCACCCCATGCTGTGGCAGTTGCCGCGAATATAATGTTTCACAATTATTTTGATGTTTCTCATTTGTTTCTTCTCTGGTTTTTTGCTGTAATATTATTCAAAAGTGTGTAATTTGTGTAATTTATATAGTTCAATGCCTGGAATATCGCAATGCAGAAAATTATGGAGCTCATATATGTGACATGTATATTATATTCTATGATCAATCAAACAATGTTATTGCTGTTATTACACTATATGCACATATTGTATATACCTATCTACTTATGCTACATATATGTTCACCATAACAAACCACTAAGTTGGTATAGTGAGCCCAAAACAAGAAGATTGGCCACGACACAGCAGTCTGCCGGCTGACTTCCTCACACCTTCAACACCCACTGACCAACATTCCGCCTCCTACCATACTGTTATTGTTTTTATTACACTACTGTATTTACACATGTTATATATAAGAATCTACATGTTTTATTCATCATAACTGTACAGCTAGGCTGGTATTACGAGATCAGGCAATAAGAGAGATTGCACCACGCACACAGCTGATGGCTGCCTCCCTCTCTGGTTCAAAGCCAGACACACAAACATTCCTCCCTCAACCATACTGTTTGTAGTGTTATTACACTATATACACACATTATATATAAGTATCTACATGTTTTGTTCACCATAACTGTACAATTAAGCTTGTATGATGTCCAAACAGCATAGTGGCCACTACATGACAAGTCACACAGCTGGTAGCAGCCTCACCCACTCCCTCGCCAAAATGGTTCCTCCCAACAAACTCCTTTTGCTGTTGTTACACTCTATACACACATTATATATAAGTATCTATATTTGTGTTCATCATAGCAAACCACTAAGCTGGTATCGTGATTCCAGACCATTATTTTCGGAACTTTCGACAGAGTTCCACATAAGAGGTTGTTCTGGAAACTGGAAAATATTGGAGGGGTGACAGGTACGCTTCTAACATGGATGAAAAATTTTCTGATTGATAGAAAAATGAGGGCTGTGATCAGAGGCAATGTATCGGGCTGGAGAAATGTCACAAGTGGAGTACCACAGGGTTCAGTTCTTGCACCAGTGATGTTTATTGTCTACATAAATGATCTACCAGTTGGTATGTTGGTTGTGGTTGGTACAGAATTATATGAACATGTTTGCTGATGATGCTAAGATAATAGGAAGGATAAGAAACTTAGATGATTGTCATGCCCTTCAAGAAGACCTGGACAAAATAAGTACATGGAGCGCCACTTGGCAAATGGAATTTAATGTTAATAAATGCCATGTTATGGAATGTGGAATAGGAGAACATAGACCCCACACAACCTATATATTATGTGAGAAATCTTTAAAGAATTCTGATAAAGAAAGAGATCTAGGGGTGGTTCTAGATAGAAAACTATCACCTGAGGACCACATAAAGAATATTGTGCGAGGAGCCTATGCCACGCTTTCTAACTTCAGAATTGCTTTTAAATACATGGATGGCGATATACTAAAGAAATTGTTCACGACTTTTGTTAGGCCAAAGCTAGAATAAGCAGCAGTTGTGTGGTGCCCATATCTTAAGAAGCACATCAACAAACTGGAAAAGGTACAAAGACATGCTACTAAGTGGCTCCCAGAACTGAAGGGCAAGAGCTACGAGGAGAGGTTAGAGGCATTAAATATGCCAAAACTAGAAGACAGAAGAAAAAGAGGTGATATGATCACTACATACAAAATAGTAACAGGAATTGATAAAATCGATAGGGAAGATTTCCTGAGACCTGGAACTTTAAGAACAAGAGGTCATAGATATAAACTAGCTAAACACAGATGCCGAAGAAATGTAAGAAAATTCACTTTTGCAAACAGAGTGGTAGACGGTTGGAACAAGTTAGGGGAGGAGGTGGTGGTGGAGGCCAAGACCGTCAGTAGTTTCAAAGCGTTATATGACAAAGAGTGCTGGGAAGACGGGACACCACGAGCGTAGCTCTCATCCTGTAACTACACTTAGGTAATTACACACACCAGCCAGCAGACAACGCTCTCTCCCTCCCTCACCAACAATTCTCCTCCTCCCACATCCCTCATTCTCACCACAATCCTGCTATTATCACAATCCTGGTCACTAAATCATATAAATTAATATTTTTTCACATATTTATTTTGTAATGAAACATGAGAAGTCGTTTGAAGAATTTTAGATGGATGAAATAATGGCAGTGTGTTGTGGCTAGTGCTGTGAACATATTGAACAGCCTTTATTCACTGATATCTGAACATTGTACAGTCTTTATCACAGTCAGGCTCTTTTGTAATACTATCATGGCTAAATAATACCAGATACAAATATGTATTTGGACATTTTTAGGCGATGCTGTGGTCAGGAGCTGAACAGCAATGCTGCGTGCGCTAGCCTTGGTTACTCACTCAGTACTGAGGCCGTCACACCCGGAAATGTTACACACTTTTTTTTTTTTTAAATAGCGTCTATTTACAAGACCCTTGAGGAAGCTGATGTGAACCCCGTGTAGCCGCGGGAGTTTCGAATGATACGCTATACCTATAAGATCCCTGAAGCGCATTGCGCACCACCTGTCGAGAGCCTTAAGGCGCATTGCGCAGTGCAGCGGTTAACCTGATTGGATGTCGAGTTAGTCAGAGGGTTTTTGCTGTGTGTTTGAATGTGACATCACTGGTCATAGTGACGTAGCTTGGGACATGTGAACAGACCCCTTCCCAGTGTCGTTAACATGGTACTCAATATAGAACTTGAGGGACACTTTACTGTTGCATGTTGTTCTAGCCTGACTGTTGAAACATCCAATATGAGGTGCAGTGAATTAATATTTTACTGGGAATGGTAGAATATTCTTACTGATAAAGGGGCTTCCACAAGTTCCAATTTTTTCTTTTTTTTTTTTACTTTATTTTCTTATCTCTCACCCATTTCCTGGCTGTCATTGTTCTTCCTATCATGTACTCTGACATTTTATTCGTTAAGTTTGCCATCTAGCACACTAAATTTTCCACTCCTCCCTCTCACCATCATATCATCCATCCCTCTACATCCTCTCTACGTGAGCACGTGCTCGCTCGCTTCCCGGTCCTTGCTTGCGGATCTATCCTTTTCCCCAACCTTCTTGGTAAATCTTCTTCTCCTCTCATTCTTCCCCATCCTTCTTCCTCTCTCCACCCTGTCCTCCTCCCCTCTTTCCACCCCGTCCTCCTTCCCTCTCTCTCTCCACCCCCCTCCTCCTTCCCTCTTTCTCTCTCCACCCCATTCTCCTTCCCTCTCCCTCTCTCTCTCTCTCTGCCCCGTTCTCCTTCCTTTCCTCTGCCCCATCCTCCTTCCCTCCCTCCGCCCCGTCCTCCTTCCCTCCCTCCGCCCCGTCCTCCTTCCCTCCCTCCGCCCCGTCCTCCTTCCCTCCCTCCGCCCCGTCCTCCTTCCCTCCCTCCGCCCCGTCCTCCTTCCCTCCCTCCGCCCCGTCCTCCTTCCCTCCCTCCGCCCCGCCCTCCTTCCCTCTTTCCCCCGTCCTCCTACCCTCTACACACACCCTACCGCTACTATATACACTCTTTCCCTAGTCCTTTCTTGCAGATCTGTCAACAAAACTGCAATGACTGCTAATTTTTATTTTCTATTAACACAGCGGAAGTGCCCCGACGAGGGCTGGGATGATGCCACCATTGAGCTGCTGGTAAATGACTTGGCTTTAATGGACAGCAACAACTTCCACCATAACTGTGGTGTTGGCGAGAGAGAGGCCAGAATATTTTCAGGTGGGAACATGGTGACCAATAATATATTATTGAATATGAGAGAAAAGATGAGATCAATGATTCTAGCATGAAACTACTTTGTTTCTTACAATCTTTTTCACTTGAGGAGGTAGTTGAAAAATTATCTCTCTAAAAATCATCTTACAGTTTTATTATGGCCTGATGCTAAGAGATGTGTTTAATTGATTCTGTCAACATTTTCACAGTCAGAGTAGAAGTGAATACACTATTTGGGTGTAGCAGCCGAATATATAACTGAGAATGAGGTGAAGTTAGGTGTTGTCACATGGACCAGTGGGCCCACTGCTGCTTGCACATCTTCTGGGTTCCAATGATGTCTAAGAGGTAGTATGCTGAGTAAACAAGGATGAAAATGTCAAAATAGTGTTAAATTTTATAAAGTTTAGTACAAATCAAAATGCAAGAAATCACATGGAAAAAAAAATTGAATTGAAATTTGGGAGATTTGTGAGTGTATCTATTGGTCTGGAAGTTGATAAACTGTAACAGTGTGTTCTGACTTTCCTTTTGTGGTGTGGTTGGGCAGAGAGTATTCCCACAGTATAGCACCTGACACCACCGGGTTACTGTCCTTCTCTGAGGTGTGGTTGGGCGGAGATTATTTCCAAGGTACCGGGCAACCTCCTAATTACTTTTCTGGGGGGAGCCCCGTCGGCTCCCCGGAGCTATCCCAGGCTGATATGCTAATGTCAGACTTTGGCATCAGTCATGTGTATGGAGTTCTTAGGCCTACCGGGGACCACGGCCAGAACCGGGCCCCCTCAGAGAGGCAAGGGGAGCAATGGCCTATAGAAGCCCCCGTGTGGTTGGAAGCATTCTATGTCTGCCATCGACCGGAACAGGCACCCAGAAAGGTAAGCGCCTCAAAACAAACCCCTATTTTGGTTAAAATTGCTACCAAAAGCCGAACTAGTGGATAGAACTCCCCCAACAGAAAACAAGCAAACTAGTGTGACGTCACACACTGCCGCGCCGTTGTCTGCGCAGCTCCCCCCTCCCCGGGAGGGGGAAGGGGGAGCCCCAGACCCTCCACGCCGGCTACCCACACCTCAGTTCTTGAGGCTGATGCTATAGGTGATGGTCGTGTGCTCTGGCTCCGGTGTCGCTACAGCACTGTGCTTTGCGTGTTGTGTTTGTTTTGTGGGTGCGAGAGCCAGGAGTTATCTTCAGTACTCGGGCTGCATGCGCCTAGGGCTGCCTTCCCTAGGTGCCCTGTAAGTACTGCCCTTGGGGCTTGGGGCCACCTTCCACAGGCTCCTCGGAGTCTGCCTCTGCTGGTCCGTTTTACCTTTCGGTTTTTCGGCCGCCTGTTGGGCTCTTGGGTGTTCTGTTCTCCCTTGTTACTGACAGGTAAGAGGCAGTTTGCACTGGTAGGGGTGCAGGGTGCTGCACAGCTTGTATTCCCGACATAGCGGCCGGCTCTGTTCCTTGGGGTTCGCTGTCCTCTTGCGGGGTTTTGTTTTTCTTTTTCTTTTTTCCTGGTGGGGGGTTCTGTCATTTTATTCAGTTTGTTTTTGCCCTTCCACTGTTCTCCTCGGTGGTGCCCCCTGCTAGGTCCCCGTGAGTGTACACGTCCCTGGGGTTCAGCTATAGAAGTTCGCTTGGTAGTTTTGGGCACCGGTTTGCAGCATCCTGCCTGGGACTACCTGAGCGCGAGTCCTCTTAAAGTAAACGCTCAGGACCCTGGGAATCCCCAAGGGGGCGCGTGGGTCCGTTGGATGTGACCCCGGAGTCCCCACTCGCTGTGTGCGAGTTTGAGGGTTGCTCGGCCCCCTTGTCTCAGGGTGACCCTCATTGTTTTTGCCTCTGCCACGCTACCTGTTGGGTCGGTGATACTTTCGACCCTGAGTCCTGTGAGTGTTGCTGCTTGCTTGTGACTCAATTTACCCAATCCTCTGATGATTCTCTTCGGGTACAGGCGGCGCGTGCGTTGCAGTCTAGGTTTCGTCTGTTGCAACGCGCTCGGTTGGTTGCTCACCCGGATGCCCCGGGGCTGCCCCACTTTGCTTTTCGAGACCCGGACTTGGGGGTGGGGGTCGCTTCGATCCTGGTTCAGTCCGCACCTCCTCGTCCTTCCCCTTCTGTTCATTCTGGTTCCCCCCCCCCCTGCTTCCGGCCCCGAAGTGTCTGAGGGTTTCGGGGTCGGAGCAGGGGTTACTTGATCTTGAGACTCGGGCAGCTTTGGGGGGTGCCCCTTCCGGGGGGGCGGCAGAGGCATTCGAGTCTTGTCTCCCGGCCGAAGCTTCTGGGTCTGACCAGTGGGCCCCCCTTCCTCCAGCTTTTCCGGCTGCTCCGTCCTTGTCTTGTGGGGTCGGGGCTTGGGGAGAGGACTCGGCCTCGGGTCCTGTGGTGAAGGACCTCGAGGCTGGGGAGGGGCTGACTTGGGGGCCTTGGGCCCCGCTGGACCCCGCCTGGGTTTTTCTTCCCTCTGAGCGGGGCTTATTGTTACAAGGAGTGGGGTTTTCTTTTCCCCCCTCTGCGTACGAGTTGGATTTGGTGTCGGCCCCTCCCCGGGTTCGGTTCCGTGTTCCCCCGGGTACGTCGGTTCTGTCCTTCCGGAGGTTTTCGGCTTATCGCATCCAACCTGGTGTGGTGCGAGTGGCCTTTGCAGCTTACCTCCTGCGTGACCCGGATTATGCCTCGGAAATGGATCCGTCCGCATTCAGGTTTGGGACTTCGTTCCCTTTCTGGCTCTGTTACGAGGTTCCGGAGTCGTCCTGGCTAGCAGACTGCCCCTTGTTTGTTCTGGATTCCTGGCATTCCTTCTGTCGTTCCCGCACGCTGGAGTGGCGGGAAGCTTCCATGGTGCTTCAGGTTTTCCTGGGGGGGCGAGCTTGAGTACCTGAATGAGTGCTTGTTTGCCCCTGCCCTTCCCCGCGATGTGGGCGTTATTCAGCTCCATGTGCAGGTTCCCACCCTTTCGGCGGCGCTCGTTGCGGAGGACTTGTGCGCCCTCCTCATCTCATTAAAATGAGATGAGGAGGGTCATGAGGAGTAGGATTATTACATTGCTTTTATATGATAGAGCACTCGGATGATAATATGTTTTCTCTTCAGGGTTGGTGGCTCGACGTCACTATGGCCTGGGCCACGGTGTGGGTCGCTCCGGTGACATTGCCGAGGTTCAGCCCAAAGCAGCCGGCTCCAGTCTCTTAAATAAGCTCACCAATGCTCTAGTACTGGACGTCATTAGGACTATTGGTAAGTGCAATGTCTCCTCGGACCTATCCTCTTGTTTTAAGAATGTCCATATTCTTGCATTCTTTGGGATGAAACTGTTCATTGGGCTTCATTTCAGGTGAGGGATTGGGGGAGAAGGAACCTGATGGGGGTGCAGGTGAGGGAGGAGTGAGGCAGGAGGGAAGGGATGACCCAAACGTGAGGATTCAGGAGAGGGAGGAGGGGTCGTGTTTAGCTAGGCAGATGCTATTTTGAATTCTTTCTGAACCCAGAAACTACTAAGCGCAATTATGATGGAATGATACTGAACCCTTTCTAGGTGTAAAGAAGACGGCGGGTTGCTTGGTGGTTCCGCTAGCCACCGGCATGAGTATGGTGCTCTGTCTCCTGACGCTGAGGCAAGAAAGGCCTGGGGCCAAGTACGTCATATGGCCACGCATCGACCAAAAGTCTTGCTTCAAGTCCATTATCACAGCAGGTAAAGAATCAGTCATGGAAATTTTTGTTTTTGTTTTTTTGGACGTAATAATACACTGGCTTTATAGCTAAATGTATGCTAATGCTGTATCAGGGTTCATGCTTGGGGATTACTATAGAGTCCATCCACAATTTTAACAGATAAATACTTTTAATTGGTTTAAACTTGACAGTGTATAGATTCTAAATGTTTCTATTAGCACAGAAACTGAACATCAAAAAATCCTGGAAACTAGAAAGTAGGTAAATGCCCTATACCCACGTATCCCCCATTTCCATTACTGATAAGAATATTGTTGTTTTATGATGTTGCAACATAATTTGTTTTGAAATAAATTTGTAATAATCCTAACAACAATCAGTTCGGTAAAGTATAACTTTATTGTAAAGAATGTTTTAATTGTTTCGGAATTTTGCGGAATTTTTTATTTGAGGTCCTTGTGCAGAAAATTTTACTTTATTAATTTATGGGGTTTATTAATTTATCTAGTTAGTGTTATGTTTTCACTATGGCCTATGTGTTAGGCTGTTCATCAAGACCTGTGTGTTAGGCTGTTCATCAAGACCTGTGTGTTAGGTCGTTCATCAAGACCTGTGTGTTAGGTCGTTCATCAAGACCTGTGTGTTAGGTCGTTCATCAAGACCTGTGTGTTAGGTCGTTCATCAAGACCTGTGTGTTAGGTCGTTCATCAAGACCTGTGTGTTAGGTCGTTCATCAAGACCTGTGTGTTAGGTCGTTCATCAAGACCTGTGTGTTAGGTCGTTCATCAAGACCTGTGTGTTAGGTCGTTCATCAAGACCTGTGTGTTAGGCTGTTCATCAAGACCTGTGTGTTAGGTCGTTCATCAAGACCTGTGTGTTAGGTCGTTCATCAAGACCTGTGTGTTAGGTTGTTCATCAAGACCTGTGTGTTAGGGTCTTCATTATCAAGTTATTTCTTTGTGCTTCTTGTGTGGTAATTACGTAAGTGTGATTACCCAAGTGTTATTACTTAACACTTTCGCGCTCTGGGCGAGATAGCACCGCGCCACCCCCAAGGTGCACCTGGCATTTCACGGGAGAGCCCGGTAATACTGAAAAGTGTATACTCTTTTCAACTTTGTCATCTCAATTCTTGTCCTAGGTTTTTCAATTTGATATCAATGTGTTTGCAATAGAATTCTCTATAAGACTAAAGGCATATAAAGAACAAAAGCCCAGCGTATCATCCGCAACAAATGGAGAAAGTGAGAGCGTGTTTCCCGGGAGCGCGCAAGAGCCATAAAATGTGTACACTCTTTTCACTCTGGTCACCTCAATTCTCGTCCTAGGTCTTTCATTTTGGTATCAATGTGTTAGCAATAGACTTCCCTACAGGAGTATATGCTTATATAAAATCAAAAAGCCCGGCGTACCACCCACAGCGAACAGAGAAAGTGACAGCACGTTACCCCTGTGAGTGCTCATCAAGAGCAATAAAATGTTTATACTCCTTTCAACCTTGTTATCTTAATTCTCGTCCTAGACCTTTCATTTTAGTATCAATGTATTCGCAATGAAATTCCCCACAGGAGCAAACGCGTATAATGTCCAAAACTGTGGCGTGCCCCTCTCGCAGTCAAGTGCAAAAGCAGGCCAAATATTTAAATTTTCGACGCCATACTGCGTTGTTAACGAACAAGTGTTACATGTAGTTACAGGATGAGAGCTATGCTCATGGTGTCCCGTCTTTCCAGGACTCTTTGTTATATAATGCTTTGAAACTACTGAGTTGTTTTGGCCTCCACCACCTTCTCGCCTAACTTGTTCCAACCGTCTACCACTCTGTAAAAGTAAATTTTCTTATATTTCTTCCGCAGCTTTGTTTAGTTAGTTTAAACCTATGACCTCTTGTTCTTGAAGTTCCGGGTCTCATGAATTCTTCCCTATCAATTTTATCGATTCCTGTTACTATTTTGTATGTAGTGATCATATCGCTTCAGGTGACTCGTTTGCGGAGTTCTCAGGGTTTGGCTCTCCTGGCAGTTTACATGCGGGGAGTGTCCAACGTCTTGGCCAATGCCCTGTCACGGCGTCTTCCCCTGTATGTGGCGCCCTTCCCCGACTGCGAGGCCGTCGAGGTTGATGCCTTTCAGCAGGACTGACCGGGTTGGGGGTTCCTGTACCTTTTTTGCCTGGTTCAGCTGTTGCTCCAGGTTCTGACTCGCTTGGAGACTTACCAGGGGAGAGTTGTCCTCTTGACCCCATGGTGGCCGGCCCAGCTGTGGTTTCAGGTGCTGCTTGCTTGGTGTCCGAACCCGGAGGTTTTCCCACGGCTCCGCCTCTTCCAGCAGATTGGACCGGAACATCACGTGGCTGGTTCGATCTTCTCCTCGAGTCTTCACGTATGGTGTTTTTTACTCGAGTTTATCATCATCTTTATGGTGATCAGGTGGCTTCCTTGTTAGTGTCCCACCTGTGGGCTTCGTCTTGGTGGCAGTATGAAGTTTCCTGGTGGTCCTTCTGTTTCTTCTTGCGTCTTCGTCATTGTACTTCGCTTTCTGTTCGGGTGGTGGTGTCCTTTCTCTCTTGATTGTTCCAGGACCCTCACCTTATGTCTAACACTGTCACCTTGTATCATGCGGCGCTGACGGAGCCTCTTCAGCTCGCTTTTGGTACTGATGTTACTTTTGCGCCGTTTTGCAAGCTGTTTCGTGCATTGTTTCACCTCCGGCCTGCTCATGCGCCGCCTGTGCCGTCCTGGTCTTTGGACAAAGTGCTCTCTCTTCTTTCTTTTCCTTTCTTTCGGTCTGTTGTGGCCCCTTCGGTTCAGGATTGTTTCTCCAAGGCTCTTTTTCTGTTGGCGTTGGCCTTTGGGGGTCAGGTTGGGGAGCTTCATACTCTCCTCCGGCGCAGGGGTTTCTGCTCCTTCGGTCTTCGTGAGGGTTTTGTTCGTTTGCAGCCGACTCCTTCTTTTCTGGCAAAGAATGAGACTGCTGCTTTCCGGAGGGGTTCCTGGGTTGTTGATGCTTGGTTGCTCAGGCTGGGGTGCATCATGTTTTGTGTCTGGTTGCGGCTCTTTGCCATTATTTGCGCGTCACGGCTTCTGTGTCCGGGGACGCGTTTTGGGTTGATCCGGTTTCCCTTCTTCCCTGTTCGCGGGTGTGGGTCTCCTAGGTCGTTGCAGAGTTAAGGCTTGCCAGCCTGTGGTTGAGAGCAGTTCGCTGCTCTTGCTGCTGTCTTTGGCAACATGTCCTGGCAACATGTCCTGAGCTGACATTCGGGCACAGGGCTTTTGGCGGTCGAACAGGGTCCTGGCTGCTCGTTACCTAATGAACGTTCCTGGGCCTAGTCGGGCCTGTGTCGCTGTGGGTTGGTGGCTGCAGCCAGTTGTCTAGACTTCGAGTTGAGGAGTGAGCAGCGACTGCCTCCCGGATAAGTCCCAAAGTTTCTCCTCTGTGGGTAGTTAGCTCCGGGGAGTCGAAAGGGCTCTCCCCAGAAAACCAGCGTTGAATGTAATGAAACGCTATTTTCTGGGTGAGACCCGGAGGCTCCCCGACATCCCTCCCTCCTTCCGGTTGGCGGTTTTTCGCGTGTTTTGCCATCCAGGTTATGAACTGAAGGGTGGAGAGCCGGTGTGAGGGGTCTGAGGCTCCCCCTTCCCCCCTCCCAGGTAGGGGAGAGCTGCACAGACAGCGGCGCGGCAACGTGTGACGTCATGATCGTTGCTCGTTTTTTTTAGGGGAGTTCTATCCACTTGTTCGGCTTTTGGTAGCAATATTTTCAACAGAATAGAGGTTTGTTTTGGGATGCTTACCTTTCTGGGTGCCTGACCCGGTCGATGGTAGACATAGAATGCTTCCAACCACACGGGGGTTTCTATAGGCCATTGCTTCCCCTTGCCTCTTTTGACGGGGCCAGGTTCTGGCTCGTGGTCCCCGGTAGGCCCACAGAACTACATACACATGACTGATGACAAAGTCTGACATTAGCATATCGGCCTAGTAAACTCCAGGGAGCCTCCAGGTCTCACCCAGAAAAAGGCGTTTCATTACATTCAGCACTGGTTTTTTGCCTCGATCTGCTGCCTGTGGGTTCGGTGGCACCTTCGACCTGGAGTCCTATGAGTTTCGTTGCTAGTTTGTGACTCGGTTACCCAGTCTTATGCTGACTATGCGGGTGCAGGCAGCACGGGCGTTGCACGTTGGATTCAGGTGGTTGCAACGCGTTTGGTTTTTTGCTCCCTGGAAGCCCCGAGGCTGCCCCGTTTTGGTTGTTGTGACGGGGCTTGGGGGTGTTGGTTGCTTCGGTTTTGTTCCTTCCTTGCCCCCTTGTCTTTCCCCCTGTTGTGGTTTCGTCTGGTACCCCCCTTCCCTTCCTCCCTGCATCCGGATCCTTTCCCTCTGTGGGTTGGGGGGCGGGGTGGGGATTCGATGGTCTTGAGACTCGGGCAGTCTCGGGGTGTTTCCCCTTCCAGGGTAGTGACGGAGGCATTCAAGCATGTTCCTCCTGCCGAGTTGTATAAGTCTGCCAGTGGGCTCCCTTCCTTCGTATGTTTCTGGCTGCCCCGGCTTTATCTTGTGAGGCTGGGGCTTTGAGGGGACGGCTTGGCCCCGGAGCCTGCCGTGGAGATTCCCGGAGTTTAGGACGGGCTGACTTAGGGGGCCTCGGGCCCCGTTGGACCCCGCCGGGGTTTTCCACCCTCAGCTCGGTGCTTGCGGTTACGGGGAGTGGGGTTTTTCCTTCCACCCTCTGCGTACGAGTTGTTGGGCATCGGCCCCTCCCCGGGTTCGGATCCTTGTCCCTTTGGGTCTGTTCAGTTCCGTCCCGTCCTATCGGTGGGTACTTTCCTCAGTTTCTTCCCCCTTTTCTCTGGGGCGGGACTTCTCCGTCATGTCGAGGTCATGTTCCCCTATTATCGGGGTTCTGCATGAATTTTGGTCTCGGGTGCGACTGCATTTATGAGCCTTCGGGATTTTTTCTGCTTCTGTGAGATCTCGGGGGTTCAGGAAGGTTTTCAATTCTGCCCGCATTATTGGAATGTCTGTCGTCTTCCGGTGAGGCTTACCTCCAGTCCTTTTTTGGACCCGTTGGTCCTCTTCCATGCTTCTTCTTGGTTTTCGATCCTGTCTCCTTTTTTATCATTGTTTTCTCTCCCTGCTCTGTCTAGGCAATGCTAATATTTTTGCAATACTCCTTGTTGGCACCCTCCCCGCTGGGCGGGGTTGTGTGGTTTGGACCTCATGCGTCCTGCGCATGCACTATGGGAGTTTTTGTTGTAGACGGTGCACACAAGTGCTGGTGTTCCACATCCTTTTTTTCTCAGGTGCTTTGTCTCTCGCTCTTCTTGTCTCTCCATTCCAATGCCCCGTAGATGCTGGGTGTGTTCTGGATTGCCGCTATGGGGAGGATGCTGGGTTTTCCCTTGCATCTGGGTGTGGGGCGTCTCATTCGCCTCTACCCTACTCTTCTCCTACAGGTGCGGCTCTGGCCTCCTTACTCTGGCGGTGCTCCCTGAATCCTCTCGGCTACGTTGTCATGACACGTTCATGCCTATTATGCAGGTGAGTTTATGCGGTCTGGCATCTCTTTTGGCCAGGCACTGGTTTGTGGATACGAATATAAGAATATAAGTGCAAAGGGACTGCAGTGGGCCTATTGGCCCATACGAGGCAGTTCCTATTTATGCCCATCCGGTCCCACTCATATACATGTCCATCACATGCTTGAGTCAATCCAGGGGGCCCCACCTTTGCCATGTTATGAGGTAAATGTTATGGGGTACCTGTTACACTGGGTCAGGATGTTATGTGGTGACATTTTGCTGTGGCTTTGATACTGGGGATCCGTGTTGGGGTTTGGTTGTGGCGTTTTGTTTGGCCCTGACGTGCTTCTTCCTGGGGCCTTCCTTGTTCGTCTGTGTTGTTTGTTACACGGTGGGTCACGGCCCCATTTTTCATGGTCTTATCTGGGTCACTCTTTTCTTGCCCGTCTTGCAGTGCCTGGCTTTAGCCCTTCCATATACATTGGATTATCTGTGCTTACCTAGTTGTCCTTACCTAGCTGTGCTTGCGGGGGTTGAGCTCTGGCTCTTTGGTCCCGCCTCTTGGCTGTCATTCGCCTGACATAGACATGGCCTTTGTGTTGTTGGTCCTGTCCCTTTCGTTCCCGTTGCTGCCTGTCTTCCTCGTTCCTCATCTTCCTTCTATGCTCGTGTCCCTTCGCTGCTGGAGCTGGGGCTGTTTTTCTAGTCCGTATGGCTTGTTCTCCTGTATCCGCTTCAGGTCGATTGACCTGTGGGGTAATATATGTGGGGCAGTTGGATTGTTTTCGTGTCGGTTCCTCATCAGGACTTGACGTCTGCGGGAAGCCCTTTACAAGTTAGTTTACGCCGGGTTTCCTTGGATGGTTCTTCACAGCTTCACATTTGTAATGCCCAAATCTCACGCCTTTCTCAAGCCATTGTAATTTTTGGGGCCTCCTGGTGTCAGTGCCTGTCTTCTGGCCAAGGACTCTTATGGTAACACCAGGAGATAAGTGGCTTCCTGGTCAACTTTCAGAAGCCATAGTTCATATCGGCACAGCTTTGAACTAGGTCAGGGGTGAGTTTGGCTTGACAAGAAAAGAATATTTTTGCTCACCCCCACCATCACTTGAGTTGCTTATGGATACTTGTGTTTTGGATTGGAGCTTGATCTTCAGTTTTGTCTAGCCAATTACGTGTGTGGTTCATCTCGGTTGCAAAAGGTGCACATTATATTCACTCTGCACAGCTCACTGCGGAGATGAATAACGTTGGGTTATATCCTCTGTGTATCTATTTCTAATGGAGTTAAGTCTTTGGTTACTACTGGCCTGCTTATCACGTGGATTTGTTTGCACAAGGCGGAATCTACTCATTCCATTTCTTTAAGCGAGTGGTCTCGGTGGACTATGGTTCTCCAGGTCCAATATCGGTTAATTATCATTGCCATTAGTTTCCCCACTTTGCATATTTACAACTAATGTACTCTCTGAACAAAATTGCAGGATTTCAACCAATTGTTGTGGAGAACTCCCTAGTGGGAGATGAGCTGAGAACTGACTTAGCAGAGATCAGGCGGCAGATAGTCTTCCTGGGACCAGAGACCATTGCTGCCGTGATGACAACAACTAGCTGTTTTGCCCCACGTGGTATTGACAAGCTAGAAGAGGTACGCTTTTTGCATTACTTCCCTTTTTCTAATTTTCCCATCTTTACCCCCCCCCCCCTTTTTCAAAGTAAATGAGGCATTGTATCTACCCCTCTTAGGAGGTATCCATGACAGAATAAAGCCTCCCAAGAGCCCCATTACATGACTGGTCTGTTCAGTCAACCTGTCCTCGCAAATAATACATTATATCAAAATCCCCAACGAAGAAAATTTGATGTAATATTGATCATAGCAACTCGCAAGCATTCGTGTTTTCCATATATCGGTAGCTCGGCTAGGTTCAGGTTTTTAGTACACCATAGTTTGTCTGTTGTGGCAATGAGGTAACAAACTGGTTCAGTACCCAATGGTGGCGTGGATGGTGACATACCTATTCCTCCACTTAGGATAAGGTTTGATTAAGATATCAGCACATATTTTTCCTGTCAGACATATTTTTGCAGATTTTTGTGCTGACACTAACTATAGTTAGTTTTCTTTCTAACTAACTAATACTAACTCATTAACTGCTAACTAACTAACGTTAGTTTTCTAACTAACGTTAACTCGTTAACTAACTGATCGTTTTCTTTCAATATTCCAAGCTGGCGCCTTCCCACCGGGCGAGTTGTGCGGTTTGGACCTCGTGTCCTGCGTATGTGCCGTGGGAGTTTGTTTTGGTATGGGAGGTGTGCACAAGTGCTGGTGTTCTGCAACCTTTTCTCTCGGGTGCTTCGCCTTGTTCCTCTCAATTCTCCAGTCCGTGCCCAGTAGCTACTGGGGGTGTTCTGGATTGTCGCTATGGGGAGCCACTTCAGCTTGCTTTTGGTATTGCTGTAACTTCTGCACCGTTTTGTAAGCTGTCTCGTGCGTTGTTTCACCTCCGGCCTTCTCATGCACCGCCTGAGCCGTCCTGGTCATTGGACAGAGTGCTCTCTTTTCTCTCTTCTCCTCGGTTTGTTGGCGAGTAATACATAATAACGCAAATAATAATGAGTAACTATGTTATTTTGCTCTAATTTGTTATATATCATATAAATACTTAGCCCAATGTTATTACCAGTTACAGTGGGGACCTCAACTTACAATGGTAATCTGTTCCCAGAGACAGATCGTAAGTCGAAATATCGTAAGTTGAAGCGATTTTTCCCATAAAAATAAAGGGAATTGAATTAATCCATTCCCCAACCTCCAAAATATTAACTTAAAATACATTTTATACTGAATACAATTTTGTTCTCTAACTACAATACAGTACATATGTTTATCTTACCTCTATGGAGGACTCTTGATGGCGTATGGAAGATGGTGAGGAGGAGGGAGGAGGAGAGGTGTTACTGTTTGGAAGGGGAGTCCCCTTCCATTATAACATCAGGCAGTGATGACTTTTCTGGGATACACTCTCTGGCATGTTTTGCCTGCATACCACTAGGACCTGCTTGTGGCTCACTGCTTGTTTGTCTCGCTAAGAATGTGTCTGTCGACACTTGTTTTTCCCTACGTTTTAACGCTTGTCTGAAGCGAGACATCACATTGTCATTAAAAAGGTTAACACAATGGCCTGCTACAACTTTTATCTGGCCGAGTTTTTTCAGCAAAACTTTGCAGTTCTTCCCATACTTCACACATTTTCTTAATGAGGAAGGGACATCCTCTACTGCCTCTACTCACAACTATTTTCTTAGGTTGAACTTTACTACTGACTTTCTTGAGACTCATGGCATGATATATAATCATTACTTTTATGTTCAGAAACCTAAAAAAAAAAAAAGCGTGAAAACATTGAAATTCTTGACAAAGAATTTAAGCATGATCATCACTAGGCGGGACTCACTTGTAAACTGAGGCTCGCCACATGCTTGGTCGACCCATATGTGTATCAACAAACTCGAGAAGTGAGGGAAACTTTGAATACTGAGTCGAATTTTACAAAGAAATTAACCTCCAAAACAAAAAATTTGGGAAGAGGGGCATTTGACAATCAAGGTACCACTGTATGTAATGTGCGCTGTGCTGAAAGTTAGACCAAAATCGTATACGTACAATTACTACCATTCAAGGGTTTAACTCGCTAAAAAATAACCTCTTTGCAAATCTGCTATAGTCTCTTCAAGATGATCAAATTTAGCTATGGTACAGTTTCTTCAATCATGCCATTTTTTCTGACTTTGTAACTTTTTATCTTTCTATGACTTATCATTGCTTTCTCTGTTTATTCACCCTTCATCACACATGCTTCTTGAATCACTCATTTCTGCTGTGGAAATTGATTAATGTTCAGGTTCATGGTTATATCAGATAATGATGTACATCTAGGATAAATGCCAGTGACGTCGTGCAGTTCCTCTGACAATATCTCTTCTTCTCTTGTCAAGGATAAATGCCAGTGACGTCGTGCAGTTCCTCTGACAATATCTCTTCTTCTCTTGTCAAGGATAAATGCCAGTGACGTCGTGCAGTTCCTCTGACAATATCTCTTCTTCTCTTGTCAAGGATAAATGCCAGTGACGTCGTGCAGTTCCTCTGACATCTTCTCTTGTCGTTATTTAGAAAGATGTGTTAAACAACTTTCCTCCCTACTTGCACTGCTCTTGACTTATGTTAAGCAAATTCCTCACCTGCCAACCACACATCCTGGTGCTAAAGCTGGGCACTGATCAACCACACATCCTGGTACTAAAGCTGGGCACTGATCAACCACACATCCTGGTACTAAAGCTGGGCACTGATCAACCAAACATCCTGGTGCTAAAGCTGGGCACTGATCAACCACACATGCTGGTACTAAAGCTGGACACTGATCAACCACACATGCTGGTACTAAAGCTGGACACTGATCAACCACACATGCTGGTACTAAAGCTGGACACTGATCAACCACACATCCTGGTACTAAAGCTGGGCACTGATCAACCACACATGCTGGTACTAAAGCTGGACACTGATCAACCACACATCCTGGTACTGAAGCTAGTTACTGATCAACCACACATCCTGGTACTAAAGCTGGGCACTGATCAACCACACATCCTGGTACTGAAGCTGGTTACTGATCAACCACACATCCTGGTACTAAAGCTGGACACTGATCAACCACACATCCTGGTACTAAAGCTGGGCACTGATCAACCACACATCCTGGTACAAAAGCTGAGCACTGATCAACCACACATCCTGGTACAAAAGCTGAGCACTGATCAACCACACATCCTGGTACAAAAGCTGAGCACTGATCAACCACACATCCTGGTACAAAAGCTGAGCACTGATCAACCACACATCCTGGTACTAAAGCTGAGCACTGACCAACCACATATCCTGGTACTAAAGATTAACTGATCAACCACACATCCTGGTACTAAAGATTAACACTGATCAACCACACATCCTGGTACTAAAGATTAACTGATCAACCACACATCCTGGTACTAAAGATTAACACTGATCAACCACACATCCTGGTACTAAAGCTGGGCACTGATCAACCACACATCCTGGTACTAAAGCTGGGCACTGATCAACCACACATCCTGGTACTAAAGCTGGGGGACTGATCAACCACACATCCTGGTACTAAAGATTAAAACTGATCAGCCACATCCTGGTACTGAAGCTGGTTACTGATCAACCACACACCCTGGTACCAAAGATTAACACTGATCAACCACACATCCTGGTACTAAAGCTGGGCACTGATCAACCACATCTTGGTACTAAAGCTGAGCACTGATCAACCACACATCCTGGTACTAAAGATTAACACTGATCAACCACACATCCTGGTACTAAAGCTGGGCACTGATCAACCACACACCCTGGTACTAAAGCTGAGCACTGATCAACCACACATCCTGGTACTAAAGCTGGGCACTGATCAACCACACATCCTGGTACTAAAGCCTGGGCACTGATCAACCACACATCCTGGTACTAAAGCTGAGCACTGATCAACCACACATCCTGGTACTAAAGCTGGGCACTGATCAACCACACATCCTGGTACTAAAGCTGAGCACTGATCAACCACACATCCTGGTACTAAAGCTGAGCACTGATCAACCACACATCCTGGTACTAAAGCTGGGCACTGATCAACCACACATGCTGGTACTAAAGCTGAGCACTGATCAACCACACATCCTGGTACTAAAGCTGAGCACTGATCAACCACACATCCTGGTACTAAAGCTGAGCACTGATCAACCACACATCCTGGTACTAAAGCTGGGGACTGATCAACCACACATCCTGGTACTAAAGCTGGGCACTGATCAACCACACATCCTGGTACTAAAGATTAACACTGATCAACCACACATCCTGGTACTAAAGCTGGGGACTGATCAACCACACATCATGGTACTAAAGCTGGGGGACTGATCAACCACAAATGGTACTAAAGCTGAGCACTGATCAACCACACATCCTGGTACTAAAGCTGGACACTGATCAACCACACATCCTGGTACTAAAGCTGAGCACTGATCAATCACACATCCTGGTACTAAAGCTGAGCACTGATCAACCACACATCCTGGTACTAAAGCTGGGGACTGATCAACCACACATCATGGTACTAAAGCTGGGCACTGATCAACCACACATCCTGGTACTAAAGATTAACACTGATCAACCACACATCCTGGTACTAAAGATTAACACTGATCAACCACACATCCTGGTACTAAAGCTGGACACTGATCCACCACATCCTGGTACTAATGCTGGGCACAGATCAACCACACATCCTGGTACTAAAGATTAACACTGATCAACCACACATCCTGGTACTGAAGCTGGTTACTGATCAACCACACATCCTGGTACTAAAGCTGGGCACTGATCAACCACACACCCTGGTACTAAAGCTGAGCACTGATCAACCACACATCCTGGTACTAAAGCTGAGCACTGATCAACCACACATCCTGGTACTAAAGCTGGGCACTGATCAACCACACATCCTGGTACTAAAGCTGGACACTGATCAACCACATCCTGGTACTAAAGATTAACACTGATCAACCACACACCCTGGTACTAAAGCTGGGCACTGATCAACCACACATCCTGGTACTAAAGCTGGGCACTGATCAACCACACATCCTGGTACTAAAGCTGAGCACTGATCAACCACACATCGTGGTACTAAAGCTGGGCACTGATCAACCACACATCCTGGTACTAAAGCTGAGCACTGATCAACCACACATCCTGGTACTAAAGCTGAGCACTGATCAACCACACATCCTGGTACTAAAGCTGAGCACTGATCAACCACACATCCTGGTACTAAAGCTGGGCACTGATCAACCACACATCCTGGTACTAAAGCTGGGCACTGATCAACCACACATCCTGGTACTAAAGATTAACACTGATCAACCACACATCCTGGTACTAAAGCTGGGCACTGATCAACCACACATCCTGGTACTAAAGCTGAGCACTGATCAACCACACATCCTGGTACTAAAGCTGAGCACTGATCAACCACACATCCTGGTACTAAAGCTGAGCACTGATCAACCACACATCCTGGTACTAAAGCTGAGCACTGATCAACCACACATCCTGGTACTAAAGCTGAGCACTGATCAACCACACATGCTGGTACTAAAGCTGAGCACTGATCAACCACACATATTAGTACTAATGCTGGGCACTGATCAACCACACATCCTGGTACTAAAGATTAACACTGATCAACCACACATCCTGGTACTAAAGCTGAGCACTGATCAACCACACATCCTGGTACTAAAGATTAACACTGATCAACCACACATCCTGGTACTAAAGCTGAGCACTGATCAACCACACATCCTGGTACTAAAGATTAACACTGATCAACCACACATCCTGGTACTAAAGCTGAGCACTGATCAACCACACATCCTGGTACTAAAGCTGGGCACTGATCAACCACACATGCTGGTACTAAAGCTGGACACTGATCATCCACACACCCTGGTACTAAAGCTGGGCACTGATCAACCACACACCCTGGTACTAAAGCTGGGCACTGATCATCCACACATCCTGGTACTAAAGATTAACACTGATCAACCACACATCCTGGTACTAAAGCTGGGCACTGATCAACCACACATCCTGGTACTAAAGATTAACACTGATCAACCACCCATCTTGGTACTAAAGCTGGACACTGATCAACTACACATCCTGGTACTAAAGCTGGGCACTGATCAACCACACATCCTGGTACTAAAGATTAACACTGATCAACCACACATCTTGGTACTAAAGCTGGACATTGATCAACCACACATCCTGGTACTAAAGATTAACACTGATCAACCACACATCTTGGTACCAAAGCTGGACACTGATCAACCACACATCCTGGTACTAAAGCTGGGCACTGATCAACCACACATCCTGGTACTAAAGATTAACACTGATCAACCACACATCTTGGTACTAAAGCTGGACACTGATCAACCACACATCCTGGTACTAAAGCTGGGCACTGATCAACCACACATCCTGGTATTAAAGGTGGACTCTGATCAACCACACATCCTGGTACTAAAGATTAACACTGATCAACCACACATCCTGGTACTAAAGATTAACACTGATCGACCACACATCCTGGTACTAAAGATTAACACTGATCAACAACACATCCTGGTACTAAAGATTAACACTGATCAACCACACATCCTGGTACTAAAGCTGGGCACTGATCAACCACACATCCTGGTACTAAAGCTGGACACTGATCAACCACACATCCTGGTACAACTGATCAACACATCCTGGTACTAAAGCTGGACACTGATCAACCACACATCCTGGTACTAAAACACTGATCAACCACACATCCTGGTACTAAAGCTGGACACTGATCAACCACACATCCTGGTACTAAAGCTGGACACTGATCAACCACACATCCTGGTACTAAAGCTGGACACTGATCAACCACACATCCTGGTACTAAAGCTGGACACTGATCAACCACACATCCACTGATCAACCACACATCCTGGTACTAAAGCTTAACACTGATCAACCACACATCCTGGTACTAAAGATTAACACTGATCAACCACACATCCTGGTACTAAAGCTGGACACTGATCAACCACACATCCTGGTACTAAAGCTGGGGATCAACCACACATCCTGGTACTAAAGATTAACACTGATCAACCACACATCCTGGTACTAAAGATTAAAACTGATCAACCACATCCTGGTACTAAAGCTGAGCACTGATCAACCACACATCCTGGTACTAAAGCTGAGCACTGATCAACCACACATCCTGGTACTAAAGGTGGACACTGGTCAACCACACATCCTGGTACTAAAGATTAAAACTGATCAACCACATCCTGGTACTAAAGCTGGACACTGGTTAACCACACATCCTGGTACTAAACATTAAAACTGATCAACCACATCCTGGTACTAAAGCGGGACACTGATCAACCACACATCTTGGTTCTAAAGCTGAGCACTGATCAACCACACATCTTGGTACTAAAGCTGGACACTGATCAACCACACACCCTGGTACTAAAGATTAACACTGATCAACCACACATCCTGGTACTAAAGATTAACACTGATCAACCACATATCCTGGTATTAAAGGTGGACACTGATCAACCACACATCCTGGTACTAAAGCTGGGGACTGATCAACCACACATCCTGGTACTAAAGCTGGGCACTGATCAACCACACATCCTGGTACTAAAGATTAACACTGATCAACCACATATCCTGGTATTAAAGGTGGACACTGATCAACCACACATCCTGGTACTAAAGCTGTACACTGATCAACCACACATCCTGGTACTAAAGATTAACACTGATCAACCACATATCCTGGTATTAAAGGTGGACACTGATCAACCACATCCTGGTACTAATGCTGGACATTGATCAACCACACATCCTGGTACTAAAGATTAAAACTGATCAACCACATCCTAGTACTAAAGCTGGACACTGATCAACCACACATCCTGGTACTAAAGCTGGGCACTGATCAACCATACATCCTGGTACTAAAGCTGGGCACTGATCAACCACACATCATGGTACCAGAGTTGATCAACAGCTTCTAACATTTGTTAACACCGGCCCCAACCACCATCACCATCTTTTTCAGCGACAGTCGCTGCTAGTAATCTTGTCTTGCACTTGATTAAAAATTTTATATTTGCATATAAATCTTTAATTTTCTGCTTTAATAAATAAATATATCATATGCATACAAACAATTTTGTTTACTCCATTACCTTGCACTAGGGTTACACCTTCTCATTACACCATTACCTTGTGCATACACACTGCTTCTTGCATGGGATGAAAACACTTGGAGCTTTGAACAGAAATTGACAAACTCCATACATGTTTGCCGTTTTCTCGAGTCCTTTATTTCGTTAGTAGTATGGTTTACCTGCTTGATACCTGCCTGATGGGGGTTCTGGGAGTTCGTATACTCCCCGAGCCTCGCCCGAGGCCAGGCTTGACTTGAGAGTTTGGTCGAACAGGCTGTTGCTTGGAGTGGCCCGCAGTCCCCACATCCACCAGAGCCCAGTTGGTGTGGCACTTCTTGAAGAAAACTATCCTGTTTTCTCTTGAAGATGTCGACAGTTGTTCAGATTTCTTGCGTGCCATTTTCACTAGCTATCTCAGTTCCGGTATTTTATCTTGACCACTATACATAGTCGTCCAACCATTATCCTGGAGCTTATGCCACTGGTACTTAGGGGCCAAAATTTATATGGGGGATTTATGCCACTACAGTATCTATCTGCCATGATTGCGGACCAACATCTTGCCCCACCCCCCTTTTCCCCCCAATCCGTCTATGGGGCACGGGGTACATATAAGTGCTCAAAGATCAACCCACTACGGAGGTGGGTTTCGTTATACATGGATTTGCCATGTAAATAAATATTTTATATGCAGGTGATGAGTCACAGTAATGTGGCTGAAGATATTATGACCAAGGTCATCATATCAGAGGTACCGAGATCCATATCAGAGGTACTGAGATCAAATAGTGTATGGCACTAAGAACAAATATTGTATGTATTGTCTTGTACTTCATAATTATAATGGCAGTAAAGATGTCATCATCATCATTAGACAGGCCTAGCTGTCTGTGTCAAGATAGTTTAAGATTACTCGCCTCGTATTATACTGTTATTAACTCTATAATCCCATACAGGTGGCCAGATTATGTGAAGAGTTTGGGGTGCCTCACTTGATCAACAATGCCTATGGTTTGCAGTCATCCAAATGCATCCATCACATTCAGGAAGCTGGCAGGTATGAGATGAGCAGAGGGAGGGAATTTTCAGGGGAAAGTGCCAAGCCGTTATGACTATATAGCACTTGGAGTGGTCAGGATAAGGATTTGGGATGGGACGGGAGTGAAAGGGGGAGGGAAGGAATGGTGCCCAACCACTTGGACGGTCAGGTATTGAATGCCGACCTACCTGAACTCAACTATGAGCTATTACTCAATAGCTTGGTCGATAAAGCTTTGGCCCCCACACACGTGTAGGGTCCATGGTTCAAGTCTCCTAAAGCCCAGGTGAATGGAAGGACTACATTTAGTGTTTTGAACAAAAGGGTGAAGGGTTGGGGAATGTTAAACATTTCCCACCACACTATAGTCTTTAGCACAACTGACTAAGGAGAAGGGTTTGATATCCAGTTAGGGGGGCCGGCCAGCCGAGCGGACAGCACCTTGGACACGTGATCCTGTGGTCCTGGGTTCGATCCCGGGCACCGGCGAAAAACAATGGGCAGAGTTTCTTTCACCCTGATGCTCCTGTTACCTAGCAGTAAATAAGTACCTGGGAGTTAGTCAGCTGTCACGGGCTGCTTCCTGGGGGGGGGGGGGTGGAGGCCTGGTCGAGGACCGGGCTGCGAGGACACTAAAGACCTGAAATCAACTCAAGATAACCTCAAGATAACCTCAAGAGAGGTTTGTGCATTTTTTGTAACATTTTAGCTGTCCCTGCTGGTGTAGTGGTAACATGCTCGCCCCCTGATGCCTTGCAAGCAATTTGATCTGGGTTATAGTCCGGGCTAGTGGAGGATTGTCTGAGTTCCAATCTTTTAACTGATTTATTACTGCTGAGTGAACAGGAGCAAATACCTGATTTTTAACCGACTGGGTGGTCGTGTTCCGAGGAAAACTAGTGGGTAAGGCTTACCATAAACCATGGGAAGGGAAAACGAGCTCTCTGCTAACAAGAGTCTGAAGTCATCTGTTCTGAAACCCACTTGTGTAAAGACATAAATATTGACACCTGAGATTTAGGCAAGATTAACACTTTCATCCGGGCATGACGCAATGCTGCATCGTCAGTTTACTGTCGGTAATCTCGGGGATGACGCAATGCTGCGTCGTCCACTAAAATAATCACCAAAAATCAGGGTTTTTTCCGATATTTTTGGGACTGGTTTTAAAATGCGCGCCTATGTCTTCCCTACACGCCTATGTCATGTTCAACACACAACACTGAGGTGGTAAGTACAAAAAGTTGTATTATTTTGTATATTTTTTTTTTCATACTTTCGCATATTGTACTGGCAATATTGTTCTTCAAATGGCCTTTATATGCACATATCCATCTAAAGCATTCTATTAGGAACAATTTCATACCTAAATCAGTGCTGTAACATGAAAATTGAGATTAGCAACAAGTAATAATACTAAACATTTGTGGGCAGGATTTGGGAGTGTAGCTGGAAGGCGTCTGGGCGCTCACTCGCCGCTAACGTGTGGTCCGTCTTCAACGCGTCGGTGATTGGAGCGTGATCAGGTTTTTTATTTTATATGCTAATATTCCCCTAGAGAATTCTATTGCGAACCCATTGATACCAAAATGAAAGACCTAGGACGAAAATTGAGGTGACCAGAGTGAAAAGAGTGAACACATTTTATCGCTTTTGCGCGCTCCTGAGTAACTCGTTCGCACTTTCTCTGTTTGCTGCAGGTAATTAGCTGGGCTTTTGGAGTTTATATGCATTTAGTGCTGTAGAGAATTCTATTGTGAACACAATGATACCAAATTTAATCTCGTAGGACGAGAATTAAGGTGACAAAGTTGAAGAGAGTATACACTTTTCAGAATTACCGCGCGCTCCCGTGAAACGCTGGGACCCACATCGCATAGTTGAGGGGTGCGCGGAAGTGTTAAGGGTGCCTGACAGCTGGGTTGACAGCGTTTCGGATTCGTAGTCCTGAGGTTCCGGGTTCGATCCCCGGTGGAGGCAGAGACAAATGGGCAAAATGTTTCTTTCACCCTAATGCTCCTGTTACCTAGCAGTAAATAGGTACCTGGGAGTTAGACAGCTGCTACGGGCTGCTTCCTGGGGATTTCGGGGACGCTAAGCCCCGAAATCATCTCAAGATAACCTCAAGAAGTGTTGTATCCTGAAGAAGGTGAGTCGTTGGCCCTTGGAGAACCTCAATAAGGCTAACTGTCATCTCCTGCAGGAGGCTGATTAACCCAATGCGAGATATCTCCTATTTATATCCAATCATTCCCACACGTTTAATTATTCAACCTAAGTCAGAAATGTTCCAGTGAGTTTGCTATTTTATTTTAACTTGGAATAATTTGTTCAATAAATTTGCAATCCTATTTCTAAACTACTGTTTACTTTTTATTTCATTTGTTTAAATAAATCTATACAGTGCAACGTCGACTTACGAATGCCCTTACAAATTTTTCGAGTCACGACCCCAATTTCGTCGGAAAATTCGACTTGACTTAACACTTTCGCTCACCCCGCGCGCCACCCCTCGACAGGGCGATATGGGCCCCAGCGTGTCACGGAAGCGCGCGTTAATTCCGAAAAGTGTATACTCTCTTCAACTTTGTCACCTCAATTCTCCTTCTACGAGATTAAATTTGGTATCATTGTGTTCGCAATAAAATTCTCTACAGCACTAAATGCATATAAACTCCAAAAGCCCGGCTAATTACCCGCAGCAAACAGAGAAAGTGCGAACGAGTTACCCGGGAGCGCGCAAACGGGATAAAATGTTTTCACTATTTTCACTCTGGTCACCTCAATTTTGTCCTAGGTCTTTCATTTTGGTCTCAATGGGTTCGTAATAAAATTCTCTAGAGGAACAATAGCATATAAAAAAAAAACCTGGTCACGCTCCAACCGCCGACGAGTTGAAGACGGGCCACGCGTTAGCCGTGAGTGAGTGCTCAGAGGCCTTCCTGCTACACTCCCAATTCCCACCCTTTTCAAGCCTTTCTTTCGCATTTTTCTTCCTGGAAGGGCCTTGTTCATGATTACTATCCATCGTGGAGTAAGCGTAGATAGTTTCTAAAGCCGCAGTACGAAATATAGCCACGGGAAATAGCCGAAATGTTCACACGTTTGAGATGCGAGGGGAGGCGACATTGGTCACAACAGTGGAGCAAAGACAATGGGCCCACGGCATGTGCCAAGCCGCCTGAGGGCCACGAGGGTCAACAAAGAAAATGGGAAGACATCAGCGCACATTTTAAAACCAGTCCCCAAAAAATCGGATAAAAACCTGATTTTTGGCGAATTTTTAAAGTGGATGATGCAATGCTGCGTCATCCCCGGCATTACCGCCAGTAAACGGATGACGCAATGCTGCGTCATCCCCGAGCGAAAGTGTTAATACCTCTACCTCGACTTGCGACTTTGTTTATACACGTATAGGTCGACCAAGTGCATGGTTCCTGGTGGTACGGGCGACCCCGCTTTAGTTTACCAGAGCCGCTCGCTTAGTGACGATCGAGCTTGTAAAGAGTTTTATTGTTTTTGTGCTTTTTTGTTTTTGAACATAAAAGTGATTATTATATATCACACGATGAGTCCCAAGAAATTCAGTGATAAGGTTCAACCTAAAAAAATAGTTGAGTAGAGGCAGTAGGGATGTCCCTTCCTCATTAAGAAAATGTGTGAAGTATGGGAAGAACTGCAAAGTTTTGTTGAAAAAACTCACCCAGATAAAGCTGTAGCAGGCCGTTGCATTAAGCTTTTAAATGACAATGTGATGTCTTACTACAGACAAGTGTTAAAATGTAGGGAAAAACAAGTGTCTTTAGACAGATACTTAGTAAGACAAGCAAGCAGTGAGCCACAAGCAGGTCCTAGTGGTATGCAGGCAAAATGTAGGAGAGAGTACACCCCAGAGAAGTCCTCACTGCCTGATGTTATAATGGAAGGGGACTCCCCTTCCAAACAGTAACACCTCTCCTCCTCCCTCCTCCTCACCATCTTCCATATGCCAACAAGTTATCAATAAAGGTAAGCTATAACTTGTACATATTATAGTACAAAATATTTGTGTGTATTATGTATGAAATGCATTTTGAAGTAAATATTTTTGTGAGAGTGGAATGATTAATTCAGTTTACATTATTTCTCATGGGAAAATTGTTTAGAGTTATGAATTTTCGAGTTATGACCCCGTCTCTGGGAACGGATTATATTCGTAAATTAAGGTATCACTGTATTTATCTAATTACTGTATGAGCTATTGCAGACGATGAGTCACAATAACGTGGCTGAAGATATGATAACCAAACCACACACCAGGAGATGGAGCCATTGTTTTGTGTTCTTTCTGGTATTTTGATTTGTTAAATCCTATATACATCGGCCTTATTAAACCAGATGCCACAAATCTGAAAATAAAAGAATTGAAGACATTTGTCTCTTATGGATCATTATTAACTCGTGTAAATAATGGTCAAGTCAGCTCAATAATTGTCCAGGACAGACCAAAACATCTTTCAATTCTTTAGTTTTCACATTTGTGGGTTGGGTGTCTAATTTTCATTCTTGTTTTATGTGACAATGTCACAAAAACCCTTTGATCCACATGTTTCATGTCCCGCCATATTCTTCACTTTTCTAGCGAATGGGAACTTGGTATTTGTCTTTCTCCGTTGTGAGAGATTCCTAATGCACAGTATCAACTTAGTCGTTCTTTTCTGACGGTTGACTTCCCAACTCTGTTCCATTTATGTTACCCACGGTATCGTGTCCCATAACCATGCTCTGATGCAGTTTAAAATGTCATCTCCATTATGATAATATTCAATTCTTATCTTTCTTACCAATCACTAATGTGTGGGTTATGTCAAAATTCTTATGAATGTCTGTGTACTGTGTACAATATTGCAGCTTTTATAACTGTTTCCTAATTTGATTCAGTTATAAAAAAAACAGAGTACAGTAATTTATTATGAAGGATCATCAGTTTGTAAAGCCATGTTGCAAATTTTGTATTAATATGTGTTTTTCAAGATCAG